TCCTGTATATATATATATATATATATGCATCATGAAACACTGAACACATATATACCAAGCACCTCTGTGTTATACGGTACAGAGGGCCAAAGGCACACATTACGCCTTCTGAGGAAGCCATATACCAAAGTCTAGTGTCTATAAAACCACCATTTTAAAATGTACAATAATCTTTGGTTTATCGGACTGTAGCATGTGGTACAATAAAAATATGGCTGACATTATGGGAAGGCTATGTGAAAGCTCCTCATCCCTCCTATCTGACACTCCTGGGCCTTTCTGGTTGGGTGGGAGCTGGCTCAGTAATGCCCTGTAGAAAGCCCACAAAAAGCTGCTGCACAAGGCCCCTTGAGCTCTCCTTTACCATCAAGAAAAGAACATCTGGCAAAAGACTTGTTTCTAGAGAGCCAATCTCAGATCTATGTTATGCTTAATTGGCTGGACTCTTCTGAAACCCAAGGAACCCAGGACTTTGTTAAGTAATTTAATTGCTTGGAACGGTGCGTGTTTCCTTTAAAACACATGGTGGAAGCTATTGTTTTTGTGTGTAAAGGGTCAACTGTAGAGTTAACAAACCCCAGTGACAATCACTTTCAGTCTGCTGGCCTTAGATCGTTACAACATCTATGTGCAAGGTGAGGCTGAGAGCGCCATCGTCACATATTGGTGGGATCTAACATGCCGTTTGTCACACCCACTAACGCAAGTGACAAGGTGTACAGCAGTAGTTTCCAATGAGCTGCCACTTATTATATTTTTTTTAAGAGAAAGAATGGTTTCCTGTCTACTTCCACTTTATTGACACGGGTAAACAAAATGTATTGTTTTTCGGTGAACATCGGGTGATTTCTGGAAAATTATGTATGGGAATCAATAGTAAAGGCAAAACTAAATTAATTGTTGATGGTTTTTAGGGGTGCAATGGGCTTTAAATAGCTTCTGTCAATTACAAAAGCTCTTTTCAATTACCCTGGACTTGTTCCTGTGCCCCAAAACATACACAAGCTCTAAAAAAACAAAATCTGTGTGGGAACATTTTGCCAAAATCATTTTGCTCATTGCTATTTATAGATCACTAGAATAGTATATGGATCCACTCATCTAGTCAAGGAAGCACTTAGTGAATTGCAGGCAACTTTTTGTCACGTGGTTCATGTAACTAACTATCACTGATACAGTATGTACTGATCCTCTGCCGCTGGGCCAAGCACAGAGGGGCGGCACAGCCTGCAGCTTTTCCTCTGGATCCCTGCTGCTCTTCGCTGCCTGTATGGGCAGAGGCAGCGGGGATCCGAGGAGAAGTGAAGCGCTGAAACCTGCGCCCCCCCACATCTGTGCCCGAGGCAAAAGCCTTAGTCATCTCGCTACGGCCCTGGATTGTAGTCCATCACAGTAGTGAGCTTGGAGTGCTGACTACTTTACAACACACAGAGAGACCATGGGGAACAGTGGCGTCACAAGGGTGATGCGGGGGGTGCGGCCCACACCCGGGTGACACCATTGGAGGGGTGATGCCAAAATCACTGACAGCCATTTTGGTGTCACCCCCTTTGAAAAGTTGGCCACTCGGTCATAGACCAAGAGCCCAACAGTTTCAGGAGAGAGGAGGGGACCCGGTGGCATACCTTATCCCGCTGAGTGAACGTCCCCTCCTCTCTCTGCTGGCGTCCATCACCAAGATGGCCACCGGCAGGTATCCGTAAGATGGCCGCGCATCCGCGATGACGTCACGCGCGAATGCGCAATGTCGTCACAGCGGAGTGTCACCCGGTATCCACTCCGGTTGACACACGGCCTCGGGACGCCCTTGATGGGGAACAAAAGTATAAACCTCCAGAAGGAAGGAAAGTGTCAGCACCAATTCAGAGATGATTTGAGGATCTACAGCCCAGTGATACACAAATAAGATACATTTTTGTTAATAGTTACTGTACATGAATACATTTTAAGGTTAAGTTTCACTTTAAAGCCAAGCATCACTCCCAGGTCTTTGTACACGTTGATGAAGGAAGGAGTGCACCTCCTGAAAGCACATGGGCAGCTCCCCTCCCATAACAGCTTGTCAGACACAGTGCTGCATCTCAGTGCAGTCACCGATAACAGGAAGCCCCCCTCGCTGTTTCTATGGTGATAGCAAACGCTGAGCGAGGTGACGACAAGGGAAGGGCAGCTGTCACTTGTAGTGCGGCAGATGTGAAGGTGGCAGGGGTGGTCTGCTGAGCAGAGGAGCCGCTGGCTGGGATGATGGGAGCAGAGGGAGAAGGTGGAGCAGGAGGAGGAGGATAAGCAGCTGCAGCGCTGCACAGGACTAGGAGGAGGTGCGATCGGCAGTGACAAGCTGGCAGCCCAGACATTGCCGCACGGGCTGCTCCAGGCGTTCTCTGCCCGGCAACTTTTCCAAAGCCATAGGCAGGAATTGGGGGGCCACGGAGCAGCTGTTCACTTGTCACTGCCATAGAGAAGGATGGCTGTGAGGTCCAGGAGACCGTGGATGAGTGTGGTGGTGGGATTAATCCTGGGATTTACAGCCGCCTCTTGGCTGATCGCCCCCAAAGTAGCCGAGATGAGCGAGAAGAAGAGAAGGTCCAACGTGTGCTCGTACTACAGCCGAGGGGGGGAACCCCGGCATGACAGGGGCTCGCTGCCAAACACCAGTCCGCCCGCTGGACCCCAAGTGCCAGAAGAGCACAAGACAAAGAAGGAGGGCAAGAGCGGCACGACCAGTGCCAATGGGACCAGCAGGCACGGGGGGACCCACAACGGCAGCGGGGATTGGGGTCCCCCAGAGGAGACCCCCAGGAATTTCCTCTACGTCGGGGTGATGACCGCCAAGAAGTACCTGGATACCAGGGCAGTGGCTGCCTACCGGACCTGGGCTCCTTACATCCCGGGCAAAGTGGAGTTCTTCTCCAGCCAGGGCTCCGAGGACATCCAGCTGCCAGAAGCCGTGCCAGTCATTGCCCTGCCCGGGGTAGATGACTCGTACCCCCCGCAGAAGAAATCCTTCATGATGATCAAGCACATGCATGACAACTACCTGGATAAATATGAGTGGTTTATGAGAGCTGATGACGATGTGTACATCAAAGGCAAGTACAGATCCTTCCATGCCCACCAATGCCATGTTACATGTATGTGCAGACCCCATGCAGGTAGACGTCCTGTGCCCTGGCTTGGGCAGAGTTTGGTACCCAGGGATGGATCAATGCAGCCAATGAAGAAGGGATGATGACTAGTTAAAGAGTTTGGTGGAGCTAGTGAATGCACATATACATACATACACACTATGGGAACCCTTCTTCTGTACCTGATATCAAATAATAAAACCAAAATATGCACGTTCTCCGTAACCCTATCCTCACCAATTCTGCGCACGCATGTACAAATCAGACATTCTCAATTTCATTGTGTATTACATAGTGGGATCTGAATGCATTCCTGATCCCCATGCTGATACCTTTTAGTGGAAAATTCTATGAAACGTCTGTATTTTCCAAGAGAATTCCAGACATGAACCTGTAAATTGGCAACGTATCTATAAAGGTAGCGGGCCATGTTATATATTTTTTTTTTTAATTCAAATAAGTGGAGAATTACCATCACTTTGTATATAGTATATACTTATAGGTGATGCTGAGGTCACATGGCTACCACTAAAGGGACAACATACTTGCTATGTCAAAAAGTCCCACAGCCTCACCTTGTATGACCGTTATCGATGCGTTGCGGTCAGTCTTTACGTGTGGTATAGTGTGAAAGGGCCCTTAAGCAACATGGGTATGCATTGTATAGCACATTTGTATGTGTGACTACAGTATGGCTTATGAACTCTTTTTTTTTTTTTCATAAAGCATGTTATGTGTTCTTTGTGAACTGATGTGCCTTGGAGCATGTGAATACCACACCCACTCTTCCTGAACACAGTTCTGTGTGTGCACAACTGACACACAGGGATCGCTTCACGAGGCTTTAAAGCTGAAAATATAAAAGTGCAAATGAATGCATCTCTGTAATCATTAATACATCATTAAAACCTATCTCCAGGTAAAGAAATAAACCACAATTGTAGTGGGCTGCCCCAGCACTGACAAGGGGTAACTGCTCATAATGTCTAGGGGGATTGTGTAAAGCACTTTTACTTACCTGAACCAGGCCCCCTCAAATCCAGTGGTCCCCTGATGGCTTCACGTTTAATGCAGGGCCCATAGTCTGGCATTAGGTTAGCAGAGGTAGTTCGGAGGTAGGTTAGGCATTTGGATGCAGAGGGAGAGTCCACAAGCCGGAGTGTAGGCAAGACAGGTGAGCATAGACTGTCATGGGAGTGGAGATCGGGTATGTAAAATCCCCTAGACAAAGAGCGAGCAATTAGCCATTGCCGTGCAGGGGGAGCCCCACTGCAATGGTATCTGATAGACTTTAAATTCATTTTTCAAATGGAAGAGGTGTAAGTACCTACATCTGACCAGGTATTAGCCTCTTGCATTCCATGTAGAGCAGGGCTTGAGCGTAAGAGGAGGAAGCAGTACAAGGGGCCAATCAGTTCACGTGCTGACAAGAAGCATGCTGATAGGAAGACAAAGCAGAGAGATAGAGAGATCAGATCATCACTGTGCTGCTTCTCCTGTCCAGTCTTAGGCTGGGGCAGGTCCAGTATGAGCTGGGCTCAGAGGAAGTGAGTTGAATGATGCTGACCATCAGACTGAGAACATTAAAAAAATGTATTACGTGGGAGATCTTCCAACTGAAGCTGAATATTGCAGCACAAGCTGGTTTTGTTATTTTATCAATACCCGGGTTATTCATCTTTATCTTGTTGTTTTTAGCTGAAATTCTGTTTTAGTACAAGAATACGTTTCTTTATTATAACCAGATGACTGTTATTTTTCATTCTCAATGCAGTTAGCTGAAAATAACTAGATTGAAGAAAATAGGTCACCAGCACTCCATAAGTTAAAATGAATGAGTCCTTTTAATGGACAATGATGTCACAGAAATCCAACTGGATTTCTGTGACATCATTGTCCATTAAAAGGACTCATTCATTTTAACTTATGGAGTGCTGGTGACCTATTTTCTTCAATCTTGTGTTTTGCACGGTGCCATCCGTGAAGTTACTTCGAGCACCATTTATTTGATTGTTGGCCGGGACTGCTGAAAGGTGTGCGGAGGGCACCTCCATCAATTGCAGCTGAAAATAACTGACACCTTTTTTAAGCTAAGAAGGATCCTTATCCTGGCTTTAAAATTAGGATCCTTATCCTGATGTCTCAGCTTTGTGAAAAGAGCCTGCACTGTGCAATGTGAACGGCTGCAGTTGTTTCTGGGAATGTTAAAACATTTTTATGTTGTGTTGGCTGGATCGTACATCCCCTTCTAAGTGTCTTCACACTTACAGTGGCTGAGTCAGAAGAACAGAAAAGTCCTGATTCATTGTTTCTCCACAGCTCCTAGCACCTCAGTGCAAAGCTCAGCAGACTGGCTTGTCATCGGCCCTGCGAAGTTGTATGTTGTCTGTGTCTGGGCTGTTTTTTATTGTCTGTCTTAATCAAACTGAAGAGCCACTTTGTGCTTCCTGCTATCACTAATCTCATTGCTAACGCTGAATACCTACTGGAGTGGCTGCAGAAGAGCCAGTGCCACGGTCTCAGACTAGATCTTATTAGCTGCCTTCTGGGTCTAAACTGACAGCTCAAGTAAACAGCTTTGTGTACATATAGAATGGAATGTCAACTTTTGTTTGCTTTGAATCCTACTACAGTATGGTGTTATTTCAATAGATGGCAAATGATAGATAGATAGATAGATAGATAGATAGATAGATAGATAGATAGATAGATAGATACATGAGAGAGACAGAGACAGAGAGAGAGAGAGAGAGAGAGATACAGGGATAGATAATAGGTAGATAATAGATAGATCGATAGAGATAGATAGATAGATAGATAGATAGATAGATAGATAGATAGATAGATAGATAGATAGATAGATAGATAGATTTGTAAAGACAATGACATGGTTTCAGCTGCAAATGGTATGTTTTAGTGAAACCATTGTATGCCTATTGGGAAGCTACAATCTCTTAGGCTATTTTAAAGAAAAAAATATTTAATAAAAAATGAATTAATAACTATAAAAAAAATCAAAACGTTTCTAAAAAATAAATAAAAATAAAATATTTAAAATATTTGAAACATTTTAAATAAAAAAGTTTGGTTTCGTTTCGGTTTTGAAATTTGCATTTCAGTGCACCTCTATTTACACTTAACCTTTGAGGTGCGTGGCAGTAACGCAGACTTGTAAACACCGTGCGTTAACGTACACTTTGTTAGGCAGCCCTTTCAGAATGAATGGACTGGGAACACACCTCAACCACCCAGAAATCTGACCTGCACCCTTTTTGGCAGCACACCGCATGGCTAAGAACGTTAGATTGAGATGATATTCTGAATGAATGGCACTGCCTTGTACCATTGGAAGTAGCGAGCGGTGCCATGTGTTATGGTAATGTGAATGAGAACACTCACGTTTACACAACACAATAATGGGAATGGGGCCTTGATGGCAGGACGCTCTTGTAATTCCACAGCATCTGAAAGGAGTTGCTTTTAGCTGAACTGCAGATAGATATAAGAAGTAACAAATGACTGCAGCTGTGTATTAATTTATACATTATAAAATGTATTCTTTAACATTAAATTAGTGTAAGTACCTGAGAAGCAGCTGAGGCTGGACCGGCCTCCACAATTCCTTACACCACATCCTTCTCTATTAGACAAAATGATTCAGCAAGTGAATGGTGTGAAGGAAATGTATATAATATAAATAAATGTGTATAATAGAAGAGCAGCTGAGGAAGTTGTGTGAATGTGAAAGTTATGTGTCCTATGTATGCAAAATAAGTTTAAAAGAGAAGTATGGGGTAAGTGTTTTTCCCTATAGTTCTCTTTAGGGTCACGGAAGGACATATACTAACCTCCTCCCGTGACCCAAAGCTCAGTATATAGTGAGCTATTGCCCACGATATACTGAGAGCGCTGCCGCCGGGACAGATCCCGACAATACTGTCTGGATCCACCCAGCTGCGTGAGTGACAGCTGGCTCTGCCTATCTAGAGGCAGAGCCAGCTGTGCCCGCCGCCTCCTCCTTTTGTTCCTCCACTCAGTGCGGGAGGATCGGAGAGGGGAGGGGGGAATCCCTTCGGGGAGCGGTGGCTGACAGTCACCGGTCACTGCAGGGAGACGATCAGAAAGTGAGCGAGTGACTATATGTGTTCGCTCACTTCCGGATTAATAGAGCCGACCTGAGACAGATTCATTGTCACAGGTCGGCTCTAACTATGAGAATGAGTGGAAATCATTCACCTCATAGTTCTCCTTTAAGAAATCTTTTGTGTTAATCCATTGAAGTAGTACCTGAAAAGTCACATTGCATATTGTGTGATTATTTTCGTATAGTGTAAGTACCTGCATTTTACAATCTACTATACAGCAACACTCAAAGTAGCAGAGGGAAGCATCAAGACTGAGAGCCAATCAGATTTGCTGCATGCAAATATGCTGACAAGGATCATGCTGATGGGGGGAGAGAGCAGAGTAAGCAGATGAATGAACTCATCTGTCTGCTGCTCTTTCCCTGTCCATTCACAAGCTGAGGGTGCAGAGTGGACATCACTTAAAGTGATATTAACCTCAAAATGTGTTTAAGCTATTTCAAATGCTGATTAAATCACTTACAATGGATGCTGCTCCTTGATGTTTAGTTTCCATCAGTATCCGCTGGTCCCCTAAGCACTGGCCCTGATATCCTGTTTTAGGGTGGCTCCTTTCCCTTGCAGTTTCCTATGGAGTCATCCTTGGGTGTGCTAGTAAAGTGTATGTGTCTCCACAGACACACAGACACAGCAAGGCAAGACACTCCCCTGCTGCCTCCTCCCTTCTCCAAGCTAGTAGATGGAGAGCTGATGTAGACTGTGCTCTTCCTTGTGATTGTGTACTGGACAGGACATTCAGGCAAGCAGAACTGAGAGAGATGGAGCTGTTTAGAAACATAATGGCTGTTACATGCTTTGAGAGTTTAATGCTACTTTAAC